GAAGAGAAAAGATTTAACTTAATCTGGGCTGATCCTGATGAACGTCAATGACAAATCGGTTATTTTAGCATATGCTACCTCCCCTTGGCGTTAGGGTAAGCTGCTAGTGTTTTTGGAGACTTTACGGTTCGTAATCCCCATCATGTCTAGCTCCCTACTTACCTTTTTCCGCATACACATTACATTTTGAAAAATGCTCCTTAAAGCGAGTTTGTTTCCAAAGTAAATTAGTAAAGGTGTATCGTATCTATTTTTAAATTTTAACGAGTAAAGGTCACAGTATGCTTGAAATTAAATCAAGGATTGATAAACTATAGTACTAGTGTGAATTTGATTTCCTTAATTTTAACTATTCACATTCAGTATATGAAGTTTATCAATTAAATTTCGCATCTCAAAATTTCATTTAATAATAGAATGCAAGAGGAGTGGTGTAGTATTGATTTGTAAAAATCTATAAAGGAAAAAGTATATAAAATAACTAAATTAAGAGCGACTCCCATTACATTGTTTACATTTTTCTTTTTTTGTTTATTTTATATATTTTCTCTTTGTTAATTTATACAAAATAATGTGTTACACATTTGTTGTTTCTATTAATTGTCAAATGAAAATTTGAAGAAACTTGATTTATTCCATGTGTACAAAGATAATAAGCATTGAACTTAAGTTTTAGTGTATCTATTTCAACTTCTCAATGCTAAGTTGACCATATATTGTTTTTGAAAATTGTTATTGGTATCAACTATTCAATAATTTTGTTGATGATTAATTTTAGTCAAAAAATTTGTCTTATCACGTTTAATGAGATCTTTTCTTTTAATGTATTTTCAATTTATAAAATTTGAATTCAAGGTCTTATTTAAAAGGATTGAGTGCGATACTACATGAGTCAATTTTGATAAGCAAATTTCATTGGTTAAAGTAAGAAATATAATTTGAATTGTGAAATTAAGAGTATTAAATGTGAATAATTAAAACTAAATAATAATATTACAAATTATATAAATAAAAGTGTAAATAAGTCTCTAAAATATTGACTAGGTAAAGATACTCCCATATTGTGTTTGGGCCAAGTTGGTGCATGAGCATCTCTAGCTATAATTTGATACTATGTTTTAGATCAACAAACTATTGAGCAAAAAAAAAAAGTTGATCAACAAACTAAAATGGATACTAAGTTAGCTATAGAAGTATGTGTAGATGTAATTATAGCTAAAAATAGAATAGAAAGAGGGGATTTTATTAATTTATTTTTACCTTAATTACATTCTTCTCTTACCCCATTATAGAGATACATTTGTCCTTAAAATAAGTAACTATGAAAATAAGCATAAATAAAGGAAATAATGAAAGATTATAAAATAATATCAAATTTTCTAAGATATTCTTATTTACGGTACTTTCCATCAAATTTCTAAATAATGGACGTGAGCCGTACCAATAAGACCATTGTCCAACTTCTCTTTGAAGTATCTGTCTATTTCAATATGTTTGGTCTTGTCACGTTGGACTGGATCATAAGTAATGTTGATGACTGACTTGTCACAAAACAACTTCATAGATAACTTTATTTTATTTCTTAAGTTATCAAAAATAATCTTCATCCATAGCCCTTCACATACGACCTATGCCAAGGCTTGGAGTTTAGCATTTACATTAGATCGAGCAACTACATTCTGTTTCTTACTCCTCTAAGTCACCAAATTCCCTTCCCAATAACATGCAATATCTAGAACTAAATCTCCTATGTATGACTGGCCCTGCATAATTTGCCTTAGTATATATCTCCATATACATGATGTCTCCTCTTTTGAATAGTAATCATTTCCCTGAACTTGACTTCAAGTATTGTAGGATCCTGTCAACAGGGTCGGTCCAACATATTTTGAGATCTAAAGAAAATTTTGAAGTTAGGCCTTTTAAAGATGAGAGTGGCAAAAAAATCAACAGTCACCCATAAAAAAGGAATTTTCAGCAAAAAAATATAATACTAGGATCAAACCTCAGTCCTTACAATGCTAGGCTTAGACAATGACCAACAAACCAAAATTAGTACTAATACAATTAATTCATTAAATTCTATAAGTAAAAAAAAAAAATTTGGGGGCCTAAAGCTAGGGCTTCAACAACCTTATGCTTGGGTCGGCCTTGCCAGTCAGCTGCCTGCATATGCCTTTCTTAAGAGTCATGCATGAACTGATTAACTACACTCACAACATAAACAATGTTTGGTCTAGTGCGTGATAGGTAAATTAGTTTCCCAACCAATTTTTTATATTGATACTTTTCCATTGGTGAACTTTTTTCACTTCCAATTTTGTGATTTTGTTCAACTTGAACTCTTAAGATCCTACATCTCAATTTTCTTGTTTCATTAAAAAGATCAAGAAAATATTTGCTTTGAGAGATAAATATGCCCTTATTGGAATAAGCAACTTCAATTCCCAAGAAATACTTCATCTTCCCTAAGTCTTTCATCTCAAATTGTGTTGCCAACTTCTTCTTTAGGGTCAATTTTTCTTCTTCATCATCACTTATAATGATCATGTCATCTACATATACTAAAAGTATTGTAAGATGGCATTAGGAGAGTGTTTTATGAACAAAGTATGATCCCCTTGGCCCTATTTGTATCACAAAGAAATCGTTGTCTAGGTATATCTCCCAAACCATTCTCATGGAGACTACTTGGGTCCATACAAGGCCTTTTTTAATCTACATACTTTATTTTCTTCATTTGAAGCTCCAAATCCTAGGGGAATTTTTATGTAAATTTCTTCTTCTAAATCTTCATGTCGAAAGGCATTTTTTACATCAAACTATTGTAAGTCCTAACCAAAATGAGTTATAAGAGAAAGTATAACCCATATTGTATTCATCTTTGCAATCGATATAAAGGTCTCCTCATAATCTATCCCAGAGTCTGTATGTACTCCTTTGCTACCAATCTTACCTTGTATATGTCTACTGTCCCATCAACTTTATGCTTCCTTATGGATATCATTCTACACCCTACAATTTTCTTGTCTTTGGATTTGTGTATAATATCCCATGTCGAGTTCTTTTCTAATGCCTTCATTTCTTCTTTTATGGCTAGAATCCAATGCTCTTCTATCATAGCCTCCTTGACTAAAGTTGGGATATCTATTGAATCAATGGCAACAATGAAACTTTGATGTTGAGTAGACAAATGATCAATACAAACATACTGTAAAATAGGATCTTTAACACAAGATCTTTTTCATTTCCTCAAAGCAATAGGAATATCATCATTAACATTTACTTCCTCAAAATTACCATCAAGATCTCTCACCTCCAAGTCAGACGATTCCTCTTGTTCTGGGACTAAGGTGGGTTTTTCTTCCTTTGATATTTTATGTCAAAGAATTTATCTTCCTCATCTTCTTTATTTTGGACATCCTATAGAGACAAAAATGGTAATAACTTTAACAAAGACTCGTATTCAAATCCTAAATTTTTTTTCCCTTGAAATTAAGGACAGACAAAGAAGGACTCATTTTCATGGAAAGTTACATCATAGAAATAAAGAATTTACAACTCTAAGGATGATAACATTTGTACCCCCATTTTATTTAACGGATAACCAACAAACACATTTGATTGCTCTCAGATCTAATTTACCTCGATGAGAATAATGTGAATGGGCAAAAGCAACATAGCCAAAAACATGACAAGGAAAACTTGACATCAAATGAGAAGAAGGAACCAATGACTGTAGCAATTTAATAGGGCTAGCACCATTAAGGACTCAAGCGGGTAACCTATTTATAAGATAGGTGGAGGTTAGGACAATTTCTCCCAAAAAGTGTAGGGAATAAACATTTGAAGAGTAAGGTTCTGACAACTTCTAGGAGATGACAATTTTTCCTTTCTGCAACCTCGTTTTGTTGGGGGGTATTAATACAAGAAAGTTTATGAACAATACTATTATCAATGATAAATTTAAGTAAATCATGATTCACATGCTCAATACTAAATTTAGATAAATCAAATTCATTTTATGGACTTGCCAAACTAATTTTTAACAAGATGGGTGAAATTGACAAATATTTGACCAATCTTAGATTTATTTTTCATAAGGTATGTCCATGTTACCCATGTATAGTCATCAATAATCATCACAAACCATTTAGCACCCGAGATAGATTTCACAATAGATCCCCACACATAAGAGTGTATTAAATCAAAAGCGAAAGAACTCTTATTACCACTAATTGGAAAAGAGAAACGATGGTGTTTATACAGTTGACAAACACCACAATTTAATGATTCAACAAGAACTTTTGTGAACAAATATGGAAACAAAGATTTAATAAGACTAAACGGAAGATGTCTGTGTCTCTTATGTTGAAGCCATATTTGAGAAGTGACCCAAATATCAGTCTTCGTATGGTCTCTTAAGGTTGATTCCATGTTTTAGTCATCATTTCTTTTTTTCTCTAAGAAGTATAACTCACCTTGTTCTTTAACAATTAAAATCATCTTCCTCGTGGTCAGGTCCTAAAAGGAACAATGAGAGTAAAAAAATGTTGCTAAACAATTCAAGTCTATAGTGAGCTTTTATATAGAAATAAGACTGTTAGCTAATTTTAGGACATGTAAGATATTATGTAAGAAAATAGAGGGGTCAAGTTGAATGATGTCAAAGCCAATAATGGGCACATTATCTCCATTAGCAACCATAATGAATTGTTTGACATTTGTTTTGGAATATGATGCAAAGAGTGAAGTAAAAGGGGTCATGTGATATGTTGCTCCAGAATCAAGAATCCAAATTCGCTACGAAACAAAGCCAAAAGTATTGAAAGAACTCTTACCCTTCATGATATACATGAGCTAAAAGGCTTACTCATAGATTCAATCATCACTCTTAGACAATCAATATCTTCCTTGCATGCTTTAATATCCTATTTCGACTAAGATTAGTTTGATGGATTTGTCTCCTCATGTTCTGAAGTTATATGCTTGATCCATTTTTGTATAGCTCCTTTGTTTCCGATGCGTTCAAGAACTTTGTCTCTTCCATGAAGCTTGAAGCATGTCTCTTTAGAATGTCCTAGCCTTTTACAATATTGACATTATTCATGACTCCTTTTTGTGAAAAGCTTTCCTCTAAAAGTTGACTCTTTGTAGAATTGTATTTTGGATTTAGATCATCTAGAAATTTGAAAATTCTCCCTCTCTTTATAATCTCTACATGGGTTGTGGCACTAGCCTTACACATCTTCAAGCTTTGATATTGGTCCAACTCAATCCACAATCCATTAAGGATCCCTTGGTACTTCGAGACCGATAGAGTTCCTTATGTTGTAATAAAAAATTTGTTTTGAATGTCATAACAAGTAGCAAAATCATTCTTTAAAGAGATTGATTTACATAAATCATTCCACATATCCTTTGCATTAAGGTAAAACATGTAGTTCCGACTGATCTACAAAACCATAGAATATCACATCCAAGTCATGATAAGAGAGTCTTCATTATCCCACACTTGAAATTGAGTCATCCAAAGCTAGACTCCTTCCCTTGATATGGCTTAATTTTGATTGAACTTTAAGAATTCTTCGAATTTATTAAGTCCACTGGAGATAGTTTTGACCATCAAGTCTATATGATCCCAGCACATTGGATAAGTCATTAGGTCCTAGGGGTTTTTTTCCATTGGCCATGGATGAACAAAGTAAAATAAACTATAAGAAAGACAAAGAACTCAAATCTGCGTTAAATAGGAAGGATCTGGATAACACCACCCCTTGGATGATCATATATGAATGGTGTAGTGTCTGGGAATGTTTCCTGCTATGCGACTCATGGCTTTGTATTCATCAATAATGGATACTCCTTTTTGACTCATTGTTGACTATAATAACATCGACATCATTGACAACAATAACTCCAAAGGCAATGGAGAAGGTTCTGATTTTAAGATAGCAGAAATAAAACTCCCAAGATTGAGAGCTTTGATATTAAGTAGCAAAAGAAGATTTTATTAATTTGTTTCACCCTAATTACATTCTTCTCTTACCCTATTATAGAGATACATTTATCCCTAAAATAGATAATTACAAAAATAAAGGAAATAATGAAAGATTGTAAAATAATATCAAATCTATTAATATATTCTTATTTACAACAAATAGTTTGGGCGCTCCTGTTCATGCAAAGCGTTATTCTCAAGTGATTATAGCTTATCTCATTTGAACCAAGTTATGGCAGGTCTCAAAACCAGTTAAATGTATCAATAGTAAAAGCACATCAAAGTAAAAGCAATTTTTATTCTTTTTGTTATTATTATTTTTTTGGTCTTGTCTTTTGTGGGGTTGGGAGATGTGGGAAGTGGCGCAGAATCGTGTATACTTGAAATAAGACAAATTAGAAAAATTTCATCGGCAGTCTCCCAAAGCAGTAGCAAAATGAAAAATAAATAAATAAATAAAACTTCAGTATCCTATAATATGTTCAAATTAATTTAAAAAACAAAACATTTCCTCAAATTCATCTAATTATCTTAACCACAATAACAGGGTAACTGTGTCCAAAATTAAATAAATTCAACTAAGATGATTTATGATTTGGGATGATCTTCCACTGTCACTTCTACCTATAGTGTAGAGAATATGATGAATAACATGTAAAAGAGCACCGACAGCAACTGATAAGAGCTATAAGATCAATGTTCCACAACGGTGTATGCTGAGATTTTATACTTGCAAGTGAATATAAAGAATGTCATTATTCTGAGACCCGGATGCTCTCACTTGTCAGCCAAATCTTTTTCTGAATTATCAACACTGTATTATCATCATCATTGCCTCGATCTGAATCTTGGTCTACATTAGATATGGCCACTTGAACCCAGTGCAGTGCTGGCAAGAACTTCTTTATAGACAACACCACTGATCGCTTATCATGGACAATGATGAAGCCTTTTGGCCTCAGGATTCTGTCCATCTCAATCAATAAATCCTCTGGACTGCATTCTCTCTCAATGATATCAGAAAATATAGTCCACGCATGGAGCAAGTCATAAGTTCGTGGGTAGGTTGAAAATGCTTCACACCTGTCACATTGATTGCCAAAACAAGGTCACAAGAAGGTAATAACGTGACAATGAAAAGGATGTGGCTTAATTATAACATTAGTGCTTTCAATGAGGTTATCTTGCATTTTAGAGAGAATAACATCAAAGGGTCTGTTTGGGTAAATTTTTCTATAAGTACTTATAGAACGAAAAAATAGGAAAGAAAAATGAAATATGCTTTCTCAATAAGCTAAAATTAGTTTATACATAAACTAATTTGTTGAAACTCTCATATAGCTTTTCAAAAAATTACAAATAAAATTATGTATAAACTAGTCTTAACTTTATGAAGAAGTTTATTTCATTTTTCCTTTATATCTTTTTCCTTCCACGAGTATTTTTAGAGAAGTTTATCCAAACAGACTTAAAGTTTTATCTCACTAGGTGACACCAGTTACATGGATCACCATGAATCCATTCAGCTTAGTTAAAGACAGAAGTTTTAGAGTATTAACTATTAAACAAACTGAAGAAACAAGTTAAATAGGCATTGCTGTTAATATAACCTACAGAAGGTCTTTCCTTTTGTAAAGAGCCGTACCAGTTATGAACTGTTCCTAATAGCCCTCTGTCATAGATGATCTTGAGAGTGTTTGGTCCATTTTCTGGCACCACATTCATAACCCAAACATCTTTGTCCTTCAAAGCAGCTGCAAATGAACCCAAATTTGCCTTCATGTCCATCACATTCCGAATTGTGTCGGGCTTAATTTTATTCCCTAGCATGTTCCAGTAATTAGCAACTTCTTTTTGCCAATATTCCTGCACAAAATTAGTTGTCACATACCAGGTAATCAGACATCTGACTATGAAGATATCATGCTTTAGATTCTAATTTCAAGAATAGTGATTTCTTTCGAGCTTATTTTGCACCCAATTTCATCTCCAGGATGATGAGGGAAATCACAATAATAAGAATTATTCATATGGTGTCACATTTAGATTTTCTTCCTTTGGACACTTGGACAGCAATAGAGGCTCTTAGTTCATATCAAATATAAATAAGCAAGAAATATGATCTCAGTTATCTTTGTTTATATATACCTTCAGTTGGCTAAGGTGGAGTTTCCACTTTCTAGCAGGTCCTTTCCCCACCCCATCCTGTATTTTCTCTCATTTTTCTTCTCTTTTTACTGTTATGGAAAGGTATGTTGCTACTTCTTTCATATGTTTATAAGAATTTATTATTGAAGACATTAAAAGTGTAAACAGGATATATTTTAAATTACCATGTCTGTTTCAAACATTGCAGTAGAATAGTTAAAGTCAGCAAGACGAGGAGGTGGAGTAGTCAATCGAGCTGGCCAAGGAGCCAAACCACTTCCTTTTATCCTGTGCATCTCTGTATAGACCAACAAAATATATGGTTATTGACTTTACAACTTCTAATAGAAGAGTCATGAAATAATACCAGGAATTGCCAATGGAACAGAACAAAATCATGCCACTATAATATATGTAAAAATGCAGTGGTGCATTATATTAAAGGCCTAGGACACATTCTTATTATCCATTTATCTCATGGTCTTGAGGTTAAAAAAAAATAAAACAGACTAAATGGGGAATATATCACTCACGATCAGAGTAACGTGTGATGCAAGCTTGCATTTTAACTTTCCAAACAGCATCAGGATCATCATCGGGGCTGCAAAGCGGAGGCTGAGTATCAGGCTCTCTTTTAAGGTAACAGTCATTTGTAAGAGGCTTGACCCATATGACAGTCTGGTTCTTTTTAGCAGCTATTTTCCAACACATCCGTTCTACAAGAGCATTCATTTCTCTCCATATTCTGCGATCCTCTTCATCCTGAGCATAAGCTTCAGGAGATGAGTAGGCAAAGTAGCCTCCTGGCCTGAGTATCCTATCTAGCTCAAGAAGAAGTATGCCATCTCTTTGAAGCCAATCAATTCTACAACGAGAACAATGAGCAAGTTCAAAAGATCTACTAGGGTAAGGGAGTCTTAGTGTCCCCAAGACACCAAGATATGCTGGAATTCCTCTTTCTAAAGCAAACTGTATTTGGTTTTCATGAACATCATTTGGTGCTAGTGACATTGCTATTACATTAGAAGAAAGAAGATATCCTCCAAAGCTTGCGACACCACAGCCAACATCAAAAACATTGCGAAGTCTCCCTCCATTGTTTATATTATTGTCTGGAAAGTTGAGCATCTGTAATATCAATCATAAATATATAGTTATGGCTTTTTCAAGTTATGTAAGAGTTTTATTTTTTCGGTTATTATCTTAGTGCCAACCCAAATAAGAGTAACTAGCTTACATTGGCAACTGATGCAATATATTTGTCAGCACCGTAGTGAAAGTGGGTTCCTCCACCAGGAAAAACTATCTTTTCACCTTTTACAACCATCCATCTCTGGTCAGATTTCTCAGTTGCAAGATGGGTATGAGGTATATTTGCCCTCCATACCTGATCTCTGCTTTTGGGCCACTTGATTGGAATCTATTATCATCAAGAACAGCATAAGACACTCAAAGCTGTAAGCACAGAAAATTTTCAAATTTATTTAACTTTCGTAGTTCCATCTAAAAGGAAATGCCTGAAGAAAAGAGAGACACCTTGTACCCTGGAGGAGGGGGAATCAAACAATTGTAACGCCTCTCGGGCATTGGGCAGTGTCGCTCATAGTGCTCCATCAAAGTCAGATCAAGCTTCAATCTTGTCTGGTATATGAAATTTCTGTCTAGACATGGAATTAGCTCCGAGTGACGATCATCACAGACCTTAACAAATTGAATACACAAGAGTGAAATACATTGAATGCTCCATACTAGACCCTAATATTCAAGGAATTTGAAAGGGTAAATGTAATAGTGTTGAGACTAAGATAACCCACTGGAATGGTCTTCGGTATAGCACTCTCATCTCCAAATTGTAAAGATTTGCTACCATGCTCAATAGAAGATGAACCACTTTCCCTAGAATTCAGATAAAATAAAGCACCAACAATCACTAAAACTAACACAGTTGCGACCAACCGCTTTCTCGGTTTCCCATCTGCTCTTCCTCTGGCCATTCTCGTCACTGCAAAAGAATCACATTCCACCATGGTTTCAACTTCAACTGGCAGACCAAGAGTAGATAATATACATGGCAAAACAACTATTCAATTTGAATCAAATTACCATATCCCATAACTTTCTCACCTCACAACGATTCAAGGGTACCAACTCAATGACCCGTGTTCCACAAATCACCTAGTTGACGCAGCTCAGAGCCACGAAAAAATAACTGCACACAAAGTTCAAATTCAAACCAATGAAACAGCACCCACTGGCACCATAAAAACTGAAAATTTGACCAAAATAGACATACCCAAAAGAAAACATCACTATTGCACTGAATTACACTCCCTCAGAAAGAAAACATCACTATTGGATCAAAGTACACATACTCCAAACTCAATTTTTTAAATTCTAGGCAGAATTTTAAATCAAACATAAAAAACAGCAACAAATTAGAGCCCCAATAATGATAACAAGGGGCTAATACGCACAAACAGTAGATATGCACATGCATATGAATCACCGACATGACAGTTGGCAACTCTCACTGACCCATTTCATGAAAAGAGTAGAGTCTGGGGTGGCAGATGCAGAGTGAGAAAAAAGTTAGCATTTTGCGGCAATTCAGAAAATGGGCATGGATCTCATCTGAGTGAGGAGGGAAAACAAAACGAAACACACAAAAGTAACGATTTTGTACCTCAGACTCCGCCCATCTTCACTTCAGACTCAAGGTTGCGTCAAAGTGGGGTATTGCATTTCTAACATTAACAAACAAACAAGGCTATATCTTATTGTCGTTAATGTTTTTTTATTATGAAAAACTTTTTCTTTTTAATTATTATTTTCTTAAGTGATACTCAATGACACATTCGAGAGATGGCGAGAGTGAAAGAGATCCAATCCCAAGCCTTTGCCTGTGCAGATGTTTACGCCTTTACCGTGTTATTTATTACTTTAATTTAACACATTATATTATTGTTCATTGTTCCATAAAGAGAATGGGAGTGGTGAAGCTACTCAAAAATAAAAATAAAAATAAAAATGGGAGTAGTGAAGGATGAACATGCAAAGGATGAGTTTATCCCAATTTTTTTTTTTTTTTTTGGGTTTATTTGACGGAAGAGTTTATCCCTAGTTAAATTAGTGTAATCTATATTATTTGTGTTTTTTAATTTAGTTAAAAAATATGTAATTAACCTTTATAATTTGAAAATTCTCTTTAAAACATGACAAAGTGTTTTGTGATATTTGAACAACAATGTGTATGATTATAAGAAGTTTAGTTTAATAGATTTTACATTTAAATTTTGTATTTTATATAAGATATGATAGCTTATGAATACAAAATCATTTTTACATCATCAAAATGAGAAAATAAAAAAAAGGAAATTTTTTTTGACAAGTCATATAATATAAAATAGTAAAGGTTGCTTATAATTTTATTATTAGAATAAAAATCTAGTAAATTATTTAAATGTGATGAGGTAATGTGAGACTTAATAAAGTAAATTAAGATACATAATTAAACAACTTTTATTATAATTTTTTTAGATTTCAAATTCCAATATCTCCTTTTATATGTAAATATAAATATGTATTTTTCTCTCTCTTAATTATAAGAAATATAAGTGAACTTTAAAATGTATTAATTACTAAATTCTTCTTATATTATTTATTTATGGTGAATTTCAACACTTATTAAACTCTTGTACAAAGAGATGTATTTATTATCCATTAACAATACATGTTACACTATACTCATTGATAAAAAAAAATATTCTTTAGATTAGATATAGTGTCATTATATGTATAATTACTACTTAAATTAGATGTAAATGTATTCATGAATTGATAAGATATTTTCACTTTGGTCCATGTAAGAAAAATATTTTTAAAAAAGAATCTTAAATTATCATTTTATCTTTCATGTAGTCTAAAAAAATGTTTATTAGTTAACTTCATTGTAATTACTTATGTAATATATTAAGTGCCAACTTCATTACTTCACTAGTCTTTTAACATAATTGTTATGTCATGGAATCAAAGGAAAAGTAAAAAAGCTTATTTTCTCTTCACATTTTTTTTCATTGTTTCTTCACATATAAGAGGCGCATATAAATTATCTACAAACACTTTCTTTTATAGTTTTTGTCGCAATTAGATATTTTGCACCTATACAATCTTTGTACTTCACCAAGAAAGTTCCTAGATGATAAGAGATATTAGGCTATGGTCATTTAGTGAATAACTATCCTTGATATTGGACTCACATGTTGCTTATATGAGCTAGCTAATGTGAGCTAGAAAGTAATTGAAACACCGTCCTTAAGCTATAATGTTGGCTTAAAAGGGTTAACCATTAAATCAATTAATAGATTATAATCAAATCATACATAACATCAAAGTTAATAAAATTATATTTTCAATATTTTTTAAAATATAAAATTAATTAATCTAATGTTTGAATTATATAATATTAATAACACATATCAAATTTCATATAATTAAGACTTTTTTTATATATCATCTAATAATAAATATTTTTTAAATATTATATTATAAGTTAAATAAAATAATTTGATAAATTTTAAATAATTTAATGATTATGCCACATAATTCAACGATAAAAATAGTAAGTTATCAAACCTCACATAAAGTGATTCTTAAAATAAATTTTTTTATTGATAAGAATTATAATTACGTGGCAACTTTGAATGCTCAAACCTAACACCTTCTTAACACTACTCAATTAGGAGCGTGGTAGGAACTAGAAAATTGGAATTGGAAGTTGCGATTTGCAAGCACATGCTATGGAGAACATTCCAGAATCTTCATCCAAAGGGACGAAACGACGACGAGATGAAGATTCGGATGGCGGAAACAGCTCCTCACTCGGTACGCAACGCAACGCTCTCCTATTTCATTCTCATTCTCTTTTTAATCCAATCTGCACCGCAATTTTCAGAGGACGATCTTATATTCACCGACACGCTCGTTGCGCTTCGAATCATGCGAGCTCAGTTCCCCCCTATTCACAAGGTTACCTCTTAATTTTAATTTTATTGCATTATCTGCCATGATTTTAGTTATTCAATTCGGTTAGGTGCTTGTTTCCAGGGTTCGGTTGAGCCTTTTATACTAAAGTCGCAATTGTATAGCAGTGTCAAGGACAGAACGCAAGTCGACAGGGAATTAGAGGTCTGTTTCCCAATTTTTAATTTTTATGTTGTAATCGTCTCTTATGTTATTGCTTACTCAAGTTCTCCGGTTATCATGGATTTAAGGTCTTTCTCCCTGAGCACCAAGGTGGAGAAAAAAAAAATGAAGTAAATTTTTTCATAAACTTATATAAGTTAAAAAAAACACATTTTTGATGAGGATAATATGAAAAAACTTTTATAAATTAGCGTACCTTATGAATAAGTTAATTTTAGTTTTTAGAAAGTAAAAATTTTATTTTTTCTTCTTATTTTCTTCTCTTGTAAGTGTTTATGGAAACATGCTCTTTAAGTGATAATAATGATTAATTTATCTGTGATGCAGTCTCTAAGGAGGGACAAAGTGCTGCGGCTTTTCAAATTAAATACTGGACAAGATGATCATGCCATAATGTTTTTGGATGATTACCTAAACCAGGTTGGTTTCATATTCGAGAACCCCCCACGCCGCCCACAGAGAGAGAGAGAGAGAGAGAGAGAGGGAGGGTTTAGGGAGAGGAGGGAGGGAGGGTATGGATTTTATCAACCCAGTAATTGAATTATAATATTTTTTTTAATCTTAGAGCATCTCCAATATGAGTTGTTTATGGGGTTTTTAATATTAGGAACTATTTCTTATGTAGTTTTACCATTGGGCTATTTGTTTGTCGGGTGGCATCAATTGTCCCGTGACGGAGACTTAGTGGATTAAGTCACAGTTGACACGTGATGCTTGGGTTGTTACAGTTAAGTAGAATGAGTTGCATCCTAACTAACAACTATAGTTTTTGACCTAGTGGTAAACACTCAATACAACAATTGGTATAAAAGCTAAGGTCGCATGGTCGATTCCCATTGGGAGCAATTGCTAAGGGAGATATTGTTTGTCGTAGAAAGAGTTGCGACCTGACTAACAGTTATAGCTTTTGACATAGTGTTAAGCATTCCATTTAGCACTATTAGAGCAACTGATATGATAGTGCTTATTTAAGATCTGTTGTAGCTGCTTATATAAGCAACCATTCTTAACAATTCTTAATAATTGTAAGACAATTGTATAATCCATTTTATGGTCTTATGGATTGTACCATTGGAGAGAACTTGTCGAGGTTCTTAAATCCCAAAATCCCATGTAGCATTGTAGGGTACACCAAAAGTGAATTAAGCAAAACACCGTTGTTCTTTCATTGGAGATGCTCTTAATTAAATACTGTAGATGCTTATTTTAATTTATTTGAAAAGTATATATGGTGTTAATATTATATAAAGTATTAAATATTTTAGGTGCTGATCTAAGATTTTAATCATAAGTATCAAAACTTCAAATCTAACAGTAGGTTTTGGTATAAACTATCGAATGAAATGTTATTCAACCAAGTAACTGTGGTTTTAACTTACATTGCTGTAAACTGCTTCCTCTTTGTATAAAATGTGCATGTATGCGTGCACTTCCAAGTCTTGGAGATGTTTTGTTGGGCCATAATATCAAATTGTTCATTATAATGTGAGAGTTTTCCTCATTTTGAAATTTTGTTTTCTTTCCTTTAAAAAAAAGAATTAAATATCTTTGGTGCTTTTTTGTACCAATGGGTATCTTCTGACCAATGTCATGTTTGATTGTTGTTGTTGATGAACTGTTGCGTTGATCTTATTTAACTATTGATGCATAGATAGATCATGTTGTGAAAAGAATGGAAGGGAAGAAAGGAGGGGAATGTGAAGTTTTTGGGTGGTTCAAGATTCATGTTCTAGACTCAAAGCTGGAAACTGGCATTGAACATCAGGAGCTTGTGAGTGAGATTCTCAAATCAGCTTATACTGTTTAAGCCTTTCCACTTCTGCTCATTTAACTGTACTGATCAAAGATTATTATAGTCTGGCAAAATGCCCTGATTTTAGGAGAGTGTGAATGCACCATATGGGAATCTGGCATATCCACACTATAGTGAACTGATATCAAAACATTTTGTTCCATTTTACCATCTTTAATATTAAAGTTTGATACTTTGAAACCAAATAGGCTGGTCAATATTTATATTATCCTAGGATATTTACTAAATGGGTTTCTGTTCTGAGGATGGTTCTTCTGATGCAGTGCTCACTCTTGTCACTTGGGGGAAAGGTGAAGGACAGTCACATCTCCCTTCTAATTAATGCTGGCATCCTTGTGAGTAAATTGGAGTATAAAGCATTGTTCAATTTGTTTATGTTCAAGCACTTTTGTGGTTATAACTGTCATAAATTGTTTATGTTTATAAGCAGAATATGAGCTCTTTTAGTGACAAGATAAAGAGTCAATTAGAGTCTTTTGATATTTTTGTGAATTATAACTGATGTCTTTTCTTATACTTTGAGAAAGTCTAAAATATGGGTGCATGAACTTTTTCTAAATTTCATTTTGGATTTGATTGAGGTTTTAAGAGCCTGAGCCTCGGTGCAAAGGTGAGGTCGCTGCTTGTAACATGTAGGTCACAAGGTCAAATCCTAGAAAGAGAAGTACTAGCAATACATTCTCTAACACATTCTTTTGAACAAACTCTTTTGAATACACTCTTTTCTATTAGCTGAAATCTAGTGAAAATTACAAAATTATGCTGGTCCTACTTTATATTTAATGAATTTTATGATTTGTAGTTTTCAATAAATTTAAACTAATAATAGAGAGTGTATTGCCACTTCTCATTCTAGAAATTGACTCCTAACTTATCCCGAGATGACACTAGGTGTTGGTGGGGAGCCTTGTGCACTGAGTTGCCATGATTTACAATTGGGGTCCGGGTTTCTAATCATACAAGCCTTTGGAACAAGCTTCTGGTTAATGGTTAAACTTCATACTGTTATTGTCAACTTGGGTAATAAGAGCAACATCTAATAGATTAAATTTTCTGAAAAGTGTGAAGCAACTGTTATCTTGTAAACTTTTCCACTACTTTTGCCTAATATTACATTTATTTAATTATTTCATGTTCCTTTCATAAGGAAAAGAAGAGGATTGCACCCTTGTGCCCACTTCTTGGTTACATGTTTGATCTTATTTTACATTCATAAATCCTAACCATTTTTCTACATGAATTTGTTGATTTGGTTTGATATCTTTGAAAATCCTATAAACACTTTGAAAATCCTAAAAAATATATTCTGTGTTTTCCATTATCAATGTTAAGCATTTGTAGCCTAATTGAGAATCTTGTAGCCTTTCTTTATCTTATCTCAAGCCTTAAAATCTTACAAGATATAACAGAATATCACTTTCATTAAACCTATTAAGCATATCCTGCTAATGTCGATTATATGCAACTTGAGTTTACATCTATGATGAATCTTTTTCAACACTAATTTCCCTATTATATGAATGCACTTTATGTAATTCTTGTTTAGTTTTATGTTAATTATCTCCGCTATATATATATATAT